TCTAGGCTTTTGGCAAATGAGCAAATGATTTTTGTCCTCATGGGCATTGCTGCTTCCTGAGCATCTCTTATTGGTTCTTTCTGGACCATGGCAAGGTCCTCCTTGACTAGCTTCTTAGCAGTCACTATCCTATCTCCAATGCATCCTGGACTCTGGCAGCAAACTGAAATCGAATGTGACTGTATCTTTTCATTTTTGTGTCCTGGGCATACAATACAGAGCCTAGCCTTTGAGAAAGTGTTTGTGGTAGATCACAGCCAACCCTCTATTCTTTGCTACTGCTACTCTTGAGAAGTAACTTCTATTCCCTTCTGCTTGTGTCTGGGCTGGTGCGAGAGACTTGCTTACTCAACTGGCTGCCGTGGAAACAGTGCTGTAGGACTTTCAAGGCACCTTCATAAAAAAACCTTGTAGCTTCCATCCTGGTTTCTTGAACCCTGTCTTTCAGCGCCATTACCAGCTGTGTCTGAAGTTCAACTCTTCTGAAGCCATCACAATGTGAAAAAACTCGGGCCCCATGGACAAGCCACTTAGTAAGTCTGCTGAGCTTCCAGCTGACAGCCTGGTCCTTGGAAGTGTATCCTCCAGCTCTCAGCTTACACCATACATGTCAGAATTGCACCCTTCCCAGATTTGTGACCCGCAGGATTAGGAAGAGAACAAAATGTTTTAAGATCGTTAGTTTTGGCATAGTTTACACCTACCCTATTGGTAAGTTACACACCAATAGAGGAGCAGAACGGTGCTCAAAATTGTTGATTGAACAGATGAATAATTCCTTTGCAATAATGCTCTGATGTTGTCCCTACTTTATTCAAGAGTTTTCAATGGCTCCCTATTGCCCAAGAAATAAAGTTGAGTGCCTTTAGTTGGCATTCAAGGTACTCTATCACCTGGCTTCCACCTGTTTTCAGACCTTCTAACCTGATCTCACTTGGCATGGATTCATCCTGTGCTGAAGATTAAGGCTTTTTCCAAGCACACAAATAAATACATACATGTGTGGGTGTCCTTTGCATATAATGCTGTTTCCATCTAAATGCTCTTCCTCCCACCTCCCCACCTTACAGGTCGACATTCACCTTATCCTTTGAGACTTATTTAGAGGCTTTCCTCTGGCTGCCCAGTTCACACAAACCCTTCCTGGATCAGGTGTGTTCAAGGGTTTGTTTAGCTGCTCTTTCATGATTTACCCTATTCTTCGTTTCTCACCTCTTGGACTGCTCTGCAAATGCCTCACATGTGGGGGCGGGGGGTGGATGGGCGTGTAACAGGGTGTAGTAACATGTTCTCTGTGCTGACCAGGCCTGGCTCTCCCTATAGGGATCTAATTGAGAGTCACCAGCATGTAATGTGGCACAGAATCCTCTCAAGCCAGGTCAAGTGCTAGAAGCGGGGAAAGGTATTGAGAAACATAGGCTTTGGTGTCAGCTCAGCGTCTGGACAGAACAGTGCCACTTACTGTGTGGCTTTTAAAGAGATGCTTTAATGGAATTCCAGTTTCCTTACTTGGGAACCAGAGACCTTGGATGAGAATGTGTATAAAAGGCCTAACTCAGTGTTTGTCACAACGTAAACCATAAGTAACTGCTTACTCAACAGACACAGCAGAATGGTTGATTGGCTTCTGGATCATCGATTGCTATGTCAATTTTGAAGGGTACGCCCCTCCACCAAAAAAAAAAAAAAAAAAAAAAAAGGAAATTAAAAAAATATTTTAAACGAGCAAAGAAAGAACAAAGAAAAAAATGAACAGCGAAGAGGAAACACGTAGGCCACCTAGCCAGCGCCAGTTATATTAATCTATGTGATCTTCAGCAAGGCCCTGCTGAGGTCTCAGTCTTCTCATCTGTAAATTGAGTGGTGGGCATTGGAATCTAAGCCCCCCTTCAGCTCTGACATTCCAAGAGCATTAAAGAAAAAGGATGAATCACCCCTTGGAAATACCAATATGGGCTGGGCCCTCCCCTGCTGTCTTCCTCCAGCACAGCTAAGAGCTCTTAATACACAGCCAGCTTCCTCCTGCAGCTGCCACCAAACTTCAATCCCCTTTCCCAGGAGTCTCAGAAGCAAGACTGATAATGGACCCCTGGCCTTCTCCATCTCAACAGGGAACCAGATCCCATTCCCAGACTCTGGGGGCCAGAGGACCCTCCCCTGAGGGGGCCAACTTTCCTGGACATTTGGCCTCAAGTATGCTTGTACGTGAAGTGTGGGCATGTTGCAAGGGCCAAAACAGAGGTGGAGAGAGAAGAGTTGAAAAGAGAGGGTTGAGTGAATCCTTCCAATCATGGCAGGAGGGTCGCGGTGGTGGAAACCATGCCATTGTTTTCCAGGGTCTGGAAACAAGTCAACGTGGCTCTATTTGTACTAGTTCTAAAGCTCCATCCCGGGGAAGCATGGACCCCAGCAGCTGCATACATTCACAGACGCAGGCTGTCAGAGCCAGGGAAGACACCGAGATCAACTTTCCTCCTGACGGCAGGCAGTTAGTTAGGCACTGGGTGACCACAGAGGACACTTTTCTTGTCTCTCTGCCCGGAGCTCTCGACTCCTTTCCGCGATGATGCTATTATTAGTATTATCAACATTAATAATAATGGACACACAGCGGGCCGTGCATCAGCCACGACGTTCCAGGAGCCAGCCCCTCCTCCCCTCTCTTCTGGGGGCAGCCTGGGGGTTCTGCGTCCCCTCTCTGCGTCTGGAGCTGCTTCGGGGCCTGCCCTCTCCGTGCGTCTGTCCGTCCGGTGGTCTGTCTATCGCCCCTGCCGTCTGGTCTGCAGCCGGGTCCTCCTAGCTCACCCCCGGCTCCGACTCTGAAAGCCGAGAAGTTCGCCGGCTGCGAGCGGGTTTTCCAAGTGGGCAGGGGTGAGGAGGAGGGGCGCGGGGCGGGCGAGCCGAGGGAGGAGGGGGCGTCGCGGAGGGAAGACCTCGCATTGTGATCCTCTGACATTGCCAACGCGGGGGTGGGGGCGCTGGCCCCGGCGCGCTCTCCGAGTTTTGGCTGCCCGCCCAGCTGGGAATAACTCTCTCCGCATAATTCGCGTGTTTACCAGGCATGAAAATTCTTGCTTTCGCTGCCCCCCCCCCGCCCCACCAACCCCTTAAGCCCCCTCCCCTCCCCCTCGCCACCCCCCCCCTCCGCCCCTCCTCGCAAGTGAAACTCTGTCTAAAAAAATATTGGCCCGGGGCACAGAAAGTTTTGCATAAATTCATAAGTGATGAATGGCTGATTTTAACGTTATTTGGGTATTTGTCAGAACTTAACAAATATACATGGGGACGGGCGGTTCACAGACTTAAACATCTCAATATCCCCTTTCTTCTGGAAATAAATTACGTTTGTTTGCCCGGCGTGGAGTCTTAAGGTAGCCGACATTAGGAATATTTTAAAAGCCATCATCCATCGAGCATGTCTTCCAGGCGCCAGGAAGATTAAATGAAAGAATCATAAGATGGAGGTCTTTAACTTTTAATCCTTTTACAATGAAGCCTCAGATAGTCGCGGGGGGCAGGGTGCCCTCTCTGGGGGGAATAATGCCGTTATTCCTCGGCTCTCAGTTAATGAATACCCTACCGTCTGTCCCACGGCGGACGCGGGCAGCGCCGGGGAGGGGGCCCGGCTCCCGGGCCGGGCTATTGAAATGAGGAGCCGCGGAGGCTGCGTCGCGAGGGAAGAAAGCGCCGGGCTGGAGGGACAGGGCGGGCGGGGCCGGGGGCCTGGAGACCGCGCGGGGGACCCGGCGCAGGTTTGGAATAATTAGCATAGATTCTTCAGGACGCGGGCCTGGGGGGCGGGGGTTGGGGGGTGCGCCGGGGAGGGAGGCGTGGGGAGGCAGGGGGGTGGGGTGGGGTGGGGTGGGGTGGGGTGGGTGGGGAGGGAGCCGAGGAGAGCGACTTTGGAGCCCGAGATAAAGGCAGCGCGGAGCCGGGCGAGGCAGCGGCCCACGTGGAGCCGCGCGCTGGGCGCCGCCGCGGAGGGGGGGCGGAGAGCGCACGCGAGTCCAGCGCCCGCCCCCGAGCCTGGGCTTTTGAGGGGTGGGGGTGATGTTTTGCATGTCTGTAGAAGGAGTAACGCATCTTATGCCCCACGCCAACCCCCAAACTCCAGGGTGGGGATTTGATTCCTTCTTTCCCGCCCCCAAGTGCAATAAGTGTGTTGAGCCCGGGGTGGGGTGGGGTGGGGTGGGGTGGCGGGGGGCGCACCCGATCCCAGCGGTGGCTTTTTTTTTTTTTTTTTTTTTTCATCTAAATTCTAATCCTTCTAAAACCCAGGCCTTCTGGGGTATCCTTAGTTCCTGGGGTAGGTGGAAGGTGAGTGTCAAATCTTCCAGCTAACTCCAGCAATTACAGCTGAGGGTCAGATTTCCGGGGCTCAGACCTGCAGGATCTTGGAGGCTGCGAGCGTGGATAGGGAGGGACCACTTGAAACTCACACCGCTGAAGCTACTGGGAGTGCAAAGGGTTAACAGGGCTGGATATTGAGGTGGGGGGGGGGCTGCGAGGCGGGAGGGGTAGCGGGGATCTGGGTGGGCGCTCTCTGATCTCCCCCCCATTCCTTGGGGGTCAAGTTTCAGAGGCACTCCGCCCCCAGGGTAGGTGTGAAAGACACGTGTCCCCATTGTGAAGGGCCTGTCAGGCAGGACAAAGCGGCCGCCCACCCTCCCCCCCCACCGCCCCTCGGTCCAGCCTGGGGTCAGCTCCTGGGGGCTGGCTGGGTGTCGAGGTCACGACGTGCCCGAGCTTTGGTGACATAGGGAGAAAAAGCTGGGAGACTGGGCAAAGGCCACGTGATGCTCAGGAGAGGGGTTGGAGCATGAACCCCCCTCCCTGAAAAACTGAGCACTCACCTCCTTCACACCAGAAGGGATGAGCACCTTCTCCCCAAGGCGTGTAAGCACAGCGGCACCCCCTGCCCGCCGGCTCCTGCCCCCCCCCCCATAGACCCCCCCATCAATCACCAACACAGAGAATCGCAGTGTCGAGCGCAGTCGATTTTAGTGGTTTTCTTTAATCCTGCTCTGCACTTCTTTCTCATTTACTACACGGGATATTATAAAGAATAAATAGCAGATACTCTTAATTTACAATGATTAGTCATTCCATTTTTTCTCTATATTTACAATAACTGTAAAATAACATTGAACTCTATAGCTTCTTCGAGGTCCAAGGAAAACCAAAAACACTTTCCGAAGAATGGAAAATAGCTTTTTAAAAGTCCTTCTACAAAAGTTCTCCCCGCTCTTTGTAGTTTAAGAAAAAATAACTTTTCCCCCCTGCTTCGCCATGCGAAGGGCACTGGAATATAAATAGCAGGTTAACATTATTAGCAACAACCAGAATAAGTCTCTCTTTTCTGTTCTTTTTTTTTTCTTTTGCTTATTTTTTTTTTAAAAATACAGTAGAAGCCGGTAAATTTTAACGTATAATACTGACCTTTTAATAAGTAAATTAAAACTGGGACCATATATACACACACATATACATTCCTACACAGTTAAACAGTGCATTACATGAACCAGAAAGCTAAGTCTCTGTAGCCAAAAAAAAAAAAAAAAAAAAAAAAAAAAAAGTTCATTGAATAGATCAAGTGTCCGGGTGCGGGCTGGGGTCCCCGAGTTCTAGCATGAGCACTTGCACTCCGAAATGATCGGGTACTGGATGGGAATCCAGCCGCAGCGCTGGCCCCCGCGCCGCTGACAGCGCCACCGCAGCACGGTGAGGTGCACGGACTTGGACGGCTTGCACACCATGCCTTCGGGCACCGAGCACGAGCGCTTGCTGAAGCAGCTGCCCACCTTCACGTAGCGCGGCCAGAAGCGGCTGCCCAGGTCGTTCCACGCGTACAGCACCGGGCAGAAGGTCTGCGACCACAGCCACATCTGTAACTTCCTCCGCAGCTTCTTGCTCAGGCGCTGCTTCTTGCCCGGGGCCAAGCCCTCGGAGAACTCCAGCCCTTTGATCTCGCTCGGCATGGCCCCCGACGGCCGCTGCCGCAGCAGCTGGTCCAGCTCCGCCAGGTCCTCAGCGCCCCCGGCGGCCCCCCCGCCGCCCCCGGGCCGGTCCTCGGGGGGCGAGGTGGCCATGAAGCCCGGGTCGTAGTGGCCCCCGAGCAGCGAGCGCAGCAGCGTCTCGTTCAGATCCTTCTCCTTGGGGTCAAAGATAGGGTCCGGGTGCTCGATGAGGTCCACCAGGGGCAGGTTGTCGCTGGGCGCCGGGCGGATGTGGAGATAGTGCTGGCCGCCGGCCGGTGCCGCCCGCAGCCCCAGGACCACCACCAGGGCGTAGAGGGTGACCCCCAGGCTGGGGCAGCGCTCCATGCCTCCGGCGCGCGCCCGGGGCTGCCGCTGCGTCCTGCGTCCCCGGAGGAGAGCACGCCGAGCCCGCGGCTCTCCGGAGGCGGCTCACCCGAGGCTGGGCAGGCGCAGGGCCGGCCGCATGAGGCGCCGGGAGAGCCCTTCGCGCGGAGCCGGCTCCCGCCCGGGCGGGGAGAAGGCGCGCGAGCTGGCCGCGGGTCCCCTCCGGGGGCTACTCGGGACGGCGGCCGCGCCGGGGCATCCGCGATCCCTCCAGGGCGACGCGGGCGCGGGAGGCGCCGGCTCCTCGCTGCCTTCCCGGGCCGGCGGCGGCGCAGGGCGCGTGGACGAGCCGCTCTCCCCTCCTCCCCTGCTCGCCGCTCCTCGTCCTGCCGCCGCGCGCGGCGCCGCTGGCCCAACCGGTCCTGGGGGCGCTTCCCTCCGCCCGCTCCGGGCTCCGCGGCCGGCTCTGCCCGGCGGACTCCAGCGGCGGCGACGGCGTCCGCGCACGTTGGCACCGGTTTGTCTGTCTCGCAGGGTCCAAGCCTTTAAATTTCCTGCACTTTCAGCTCCATCACCATGGAAACCACCGACTCTCTCGGTCCTGCCCCCTCCCCCTTCTTCCCCCAAACAACAACCCCACCCCCCACTTCTCCACCCCCGAAGGCTGCCGGAGCGGCGCAGGCTCCGGGGGAAGCCGCCTGCCCTGGCCGCCGAGGCGGCGGCTTCGGCAGCGCCCAGGGCCGTGCCCCGCCGGACCCAGATGCCCCGGGAGGCCGACAGTCCGGCTGCCCGCGGAGCTCACAGGCGGCGGCGTTGGCGGCGGCGGTGGCGCTTGGCAGGTCTCCGCGCAATTTTCTCTCTCCCCCACCACCCACCCCCCTTCTCCTCCTCCTGCAAAATGCACCGCCCCCCTCCTTTCTCCTGGAGCAATGCAACTGGGGCTCTAGGCGCCCCGCCAGGGCCAGTGCTGGGTAAAGCTCGCGGCGGCGCTGGAGCCGGGCTGGAGGGTGCAGGGCCGGTCTTGGGGGGTGCTCGAGGTGGGGCCGGGAGGGTTCTCACTAGCTGCTGGCTTTGCAAGGGGAGGGGCGCAAGCCGGAGGGGCTGGGGGTTCTTTGCGCGGTGCAGGGGGGCGCAAGGAATGTCTCCATGTGCACGGGGCTTTTTCCCCCGTGTGCGTCTCGAATCTCACCTTCCTCGCTCCCGGGCTCGGTCCAAGTCCCTTCCCCTTCCCCGCCCCCCCCCTCCCCAAAACGCGTGCACGCGCGCGCGCGCGCGCACACACACACACACACCCCACACCACCCCACACCACGCCACACTTTGCAACTAGGAGTTCGCGAGCCGCAGCGTTGCGCAGCGTGATGTAATTCCTAGGAAGCACTCCTGCCCGTCTGTTACCCGCGCCCACGAGGGGGGTCTGCTTCTCAACCTCCTCCTCCTTGGCCGGGTCCTGCACCCTGAGTGGCCGAGCTGCAGGGGCGCGTCCCGCTAGCCTGCGGCTCCCTAGCCGGCGGGGCTCGGCTCGACCACAACGCGGCTCTTCGGGGGCGGCGCGCCCTCTGCTGGCAGACCGCAAGTGCTGCACCTGACGCTGCAGGGCGGCCTTGTGCGTTGGGTTTGTCTGCTGTCCACTCTGCTCAGCCAGCTCAGCTCCCGCCTCCGGGTCCGTGCGGTGGTGTGTGCGCCTTTTGGTGTGTGTATGTGCGCACGTGCGCGAGTTGACGGGTCTGCTCAGATTCCCGCTGTTCTCCAAGCTCTTCGGTGTCTCAGTGTAAACAAACTTGCTGAGATGCCTACGCAAGTCCTTCGAATGCCCCAAGAATAGTATTGTACTCACTGCCTCTGCTAAATGGGCATCAGGGGGAAGGAGGCCGGACCCAAACTCAATGGATGAACTGGCAGTAGGGCCCCCTGGGTTATGACTGGGCTCTACCTTGTATAAGGGTGTTAACCTGGGACAGGTCACCTGTGATGCCGTAGATCTTAGTCTTCCCATCAGTGACACAGCTACGTTACACCTCCAGTCCTACCTGTGATTATAAGCAAACATGATGCAGTTTCCTCCATAGGCAGTTTCTCTTTGATGGGAGAAGGGTGATGGAGGTGTCACTCTTGGTGGATTTTCCCTTGCATGAGGAGCTACATCTAAGCTTCCAAACTCAAACTCATTTTCCTTTGTGGTAGATGTGATTGGAGGTTGGGGAAGAGAGAATTGGAATGGGATGACTCAGGAACTCACCAGAATCCCACAGAGTGGAGCTGGGAGATGGGATGATAATAGGCCCAATCACCCCACTGTTCACAAAGATCTGGGTTTTTTTTTTTTTTTTCTTTTTTTCTATCAACTGTTCTATCCCCCAACCTGAAGTTTATTTTCTAGGGCAGAAAACACACACTATTTCATTGTATAGTGTTTCAGCAAAGCCTCATCAGTAGCTGAAAACATTTTCCTAAGCCTTCAAATTCAGCCAGTATCTAGAATTCCGCTTTTTCTGCAGGTCCTGCCTGAAAGGAGGTCTCGCTCTGATAAGTTTTGGTAACTAGAACAACCCATAGGTATTTGAGTTGACTTGATTCTGAAATAGTGTGACTAGAGCCTGGCACATAGTAGGCTTTTAAAGGAGACTTCTTCCTTTTTGGTGTGCTTCGTGAGGTCTTGGCACTGGTTTGCTTTTTAATGAGAATTAAATGTTCCAGAGCAATTTTGTCATTGCTCACAAAATAACTTTTCAGTGAAGCGCTCAGAGGTAAAATACTAGCCCAACTCTTTTGAGGTGGTAGGTTCCCATGAATGACATTTTACGGTGCTGCTTTCTATTCCAGTAATTTCCTCCAAATCCCCTATTTTTGTGTGAAAACCAACCCATAGCTTTCAATCCTATGTTTAGGCTGAGTAGATGTGACTGAACAGCAAAAAAATGTTTCCTCAGGAATGAAAAACAAGTTGTGTTAGAAATGCCCACTGGGTTAAGACTAGGGGGAGAAATGCGGAGGAGCAAGTTGTGTTAGAAATGCCCACTGGGTTAAGACTAGGGGGAGAAATGCGGAGGAGCAAACTCATTGTCGACCACCATCCTCCTGGGCCCCTGCAGTCCTGTGGAGGGGATGTGACAGGCAGATGAGGAAAACATAGATCTTTCATAGCTGTGTAGATCAGTATCTCAGAACCTTTAAAAATAAACCCATGCTTGGTGGTAATATCTGATGGGGGTACCCCAATATTACCTCAGCTAAAGATAAATAAATAAAAATTTAAAAACCCATGTCCACTTTGGATAAGAATTACAATTTCATGCTATTCAGTTTCATGCTTGCAATGTTATTCTACATGATGGTGACCAACAAAGCCAAAACAATGATAATATCAGCCCTACTGTTTTTAAGTCACACTTCCCTTGTTCAGTGTTGGGCTATGAAATACCCCATTTGGGGCGCCTGTAGTCAGCTTCCCACTCTGCACACATTGGGGTGGCCTATGCACTTAGGCACTGGGGATGCCGTTATCAGAGTCTTATTGGTAGAGCTGAGCTTTCCCTGGGCTCGATGATGGAAGAAGGATATGCTTATCTGATTAGGGGGAAGAAGAGACAGAGGCATATCATCTGAATTTGCAGGATGAGGAGAAGCACATGCTATAAAGGACAGCCAGGGTCTGGGGAGTAGGGGAGGAAATGTCATGAACAGGGAAGGTCCCCCAAGACAAACTCTGGGCCAGGTGGATCTCAGGTAGAAATCTACGGTACTTTCTCCACATGGAAATCTTTTGTCCAAATTTTCATTTCCTCATCTGCAAAATGGGGATAACACCCACCTACCAGAACTGTGTAAGATAAAAGAGCTAATGAACTTCTAGCTTAGCATCGTGTAACGGGGCAGAGCGGTCATTGTCCTTCAACAAATGTTAGTTCTCAGGAAACTGCTGCTGCCCTCAGTTGGCCAACTATCTCAGGTTTGAGCTAGAGAGGCTTGAAGGGGCTGGGATCCTGTTGAAGTCACCTCCAACGCCTTTGGGCCTGCCTCATGACCATTCAGCACGTGCACCTTGCTGATGCCCCTTGGTGCTGGTCTTCAGGAGTTTGGGGGAGGGGTCTGGAATTCTCTCTGGGGAGGGAGCTTGACAAGCAGGACAAAGAGGGTTGTAATTCTTCAAAGGGAAGCAGTGGAGTGGGAGGTGGTCCAGGGGCAGGATGGCTACCAGCTTGATATGTTGATCAGGCCCTTGTGGTTGGGAGTTTGGACTTCTGTGGAGATTGGTTAGGCACCAGGGCTTGGCAGCCCAGGGGAGAAGTGTCCAGTGGCTTCCTTTGGCTGCCCGTGCCCCAGGATTTCTGTCCCTGTGAAATACTCTGGCAAGGAAAACAGAAGCACACCTGTCAACAGCTGCTTTGGCCACTCTAGGTCAAGGCTGAGTGTGCTTTCCTGTACCTTGACTTATTTCAATGGATTCTAAGAAGAATTCAACAATCTTGCTCCTTTGGCCTTGGAAAGAGAGACTCGAGGCAGCTGTGGATGAAGTGCAAAGTCTGGAGCTTGATGTCGGAAAACCTGCAACTGCAGCTGTGTGACCTTGCATGAGTCACGTTGCCTCTCTGGACCATGAGGTACCATAAAGGAGTAGACACGAGAGCTGCCACCTTTCATCTAAAACGCAGGCATCTAAAACACATCACCCTCTGATTCTGACTATCTCTCTGGTCCCATAAATGTCAAATTGGATGGATTTTTACTGAGTGAGACCCAAAATGGCATTTTTGAACTTGACCCAACTAAGGCAAGTGAGGAAAAGTCCACCGGCAGACTTGTCACTTTCCTCTCCTGACTGCTGGACCAAGGTGGGAGTGGAGGTGGCTCTGATGCCTACCAGACCCTGGTGCGCTCCCTGCTCCCTGAGGCCTTCAGAGGGGCTGGGGTGGGGGGTTGGGGGGGTGGCCCTGGCCAGCTCAGGTCTCACAGTGGTCCGAGCATTCTGATGTTCTGTGTTTTCAGTTGGTGACTGCATTCTAGTTAGAGCAGGGAGGCTCCTGCTAGCACAGGCCTGGGGGAGGGGCGGAGAGGGCAGGAGGAATAAGAGAGAAGGGGAGGAGATAAATCCAAAATGTGGGCTGGGGTGGGAAAACGGGTAAATAATTGTGAAATGCATTTCCAGGAATAGAGACAAAGCTAAAGGCCAAAGGAGGAGAGGCGCCAGTGCGTACCCCCTTCCCTTCCCCAGTCTGGCTCCCTCGCTGCCTGCGGCCCCCTCCCCGCCCGTCTGCGCGCTGGGGAAGGGGAGACGGCTCTGGAGCCCCGTGGCTCATTCATCTCCTGATAAACTGTTTATCTGAGTTTTAACGAGGGCGCCTCTCTTCCAGCCCTGGAGACAGAAGCCTCCTCATGTTTAGCCGGCCCTGATGTGGGGGGCCAGCAGGGAGGGGGGGCGAGGGCGGCAGGCGGATCTTCTGCCCTTTGCTCGCTAGCGCTCGCTGCCTGCGCGCTGTGCCCTGGGCTCTCCAGGCATCATGTTGAATTTCCTCCG